AGAGACGGGGTTTCACCGTGTTGACCAGGATGGTCTCGATCTCTTGACCTCGTGATCCACCCGCCTCGGCCTCCCAAAGTTCTGGGATTACAGGCTTGAGCCACCGTGCCCGGCTAGTTTGTTTGTTTTTTAAAATGGAGAGTCTCAGCTCTGTCTCCAGGCTGGAGTGCAGCTGTGTGATCTCGGTTCACTGCAACCTCTGCCTCCTGGGTTCAAGCGATTCTCCTGTATCAGCCTCCCTAGTAGCTGGGAGTACAGGTGCTCACCACCATGCCCAGCTAATTTTTGTATTTTTAGTAGAGATGGGGTTTCTCCATGTTGGTCAGGCTGGTCTCAATCTCTTGATCTCGTCCCACCTCAGCCTCCCAAAGTGCTGGGATTACAAGCATGAGCCACCATGACCAGCCCTAGGTGGGTTTTTTTTTTTTTTCGTATGTACATGTATCCAATAAAGGCCTACAGGAAATGCCACCATTTTTTTAAGGGAGTGGAGGCCCATCTTCCCACCCACCAGGGACACCTAAGTCTGCCCTGCCCTCCCCCATCCTGCACTGACAATTATGAGTCTTATAATGGAATATTGTTACTTCAATGCTTGTCCACTCCAGGAGCACAGCAGGCTTCTTAACTGGGGAGGTGGCTCTTGGTAGGAATGAGGGGAGCTCTTTTCTCACTTATCTTAACCTGCCTTCCCCTTCCCAGGGTTTGGCCCTGTGTTTACAACCAGTGACCCTGACAGCTTCTGGCAACAGCTTAATGAGATCCATGCCTTGGGGGGTGGAGATGAGCCTGAGATGTGCCTGTCAGCCCTGCAGGTCTGTCCCCTCCCGTCTTCCCTTCTTATCCCCCCTTTCCTGGCCCCACCACCAGGGGGAGCTAGATCCCTCCTGGGGCTCCCCACCACCTTCAGACCCTAGATCACTAGCTTCACACCAGGATTCCCGGGCCGTATTCCCTTTTGCTTCATCCTCCTTGGCTCTGCCCATTCCCCTCCTGCTGCCATTGTTAACACTGGCCCTTGCTTTCCCTGCCAGCTAGCCCTGCTGCATACACCGCCACTCTCAGACATCTTTGTCTTCACGGATGCCTCCCCCAAGGATGCCTTTCTCACCAACCAGGTTGAATCCCTGACTCAGGAGCGGCGCTGCCGGGTGAGCAGAGCTGATAAGAGACCCAGTGTTAGCTGCCCAGGGATGGGGGAGATCCTGTGATGACAGTCTCATAATGAGGGTTGCACCACACTGTAGTGGCCCAACAAGCCTTGGTGCATGGTGGGAGAAGCGCACAATGAACGGAACATTTCCTGATACCTTTAATGATGCTCACGCACAGGAGGCCCTACCCTTAATAATGCTGAATTTGTATTTGAACCTGCCCAATAAACAATGTGAAGAACTGGAAATCTAGTCACCAAAAATCCACTGTGACAGTTACAAGGGAGTGGCCAACTACTTTTTTTTTTTTTTTTTTTTTT